CCCCAAAACCCCAAAACCCCAAAACCCCGAGTTGAGGAATTTCTTGGATTATTTGAATTCTATTAATATTTATAATTTAATCTAAAAAATGCAGTCAGTTCATGAATAGGTAAAATTACTATCAAGTTGATAACTTGTAAATAGATAGTATTATAACATGTGGAGAAGCTCTCCCTCGAGGAAATCATTATTAACAGCTTGAAAAATCTTTACTCCTCTGAAGATTTGCCTGATAACCCATATCCAACTATACTTAAAACAATGACTTTCTATAAATTCTCGTAAGATCTGCCTCTAATGATGGCTTATTGATTTAAATTAGTTGAGAGTTAGATGGATCTAAAGAAAAAGTAGCTGCTGAGTTTGTGAGGAATGAAATGGTAGATGAGGGTTTTTACGGAATCACAGGCGTAATGGGTCTTTATAGTGTGTATGGAATAAAGAACGTACTTGAGATAGTAAATCCAGTTTAAGTCCAAAATCTAATGAGAAATATCAGACCTTACATTCAGGATAAATCAGAATCAATGGGAGATGTAAAGGTACATTAAATATATTAAAAATCATCACATATTTGTAGTATGATATATATAATGCAGTTGCTGGAGGATATCTATTTAGAAGCAAATGCTTCGAAGTGCCTGAGGCGGCTACTAACCCCCTGAAAATTTATGCAATCTTTTAGGCATCAGTAATGGTTAAGCAATCAGCTTTTAACTTCTTTACTGACTTCGTTTATGATGATGTGCTTTCCATGTCTCAAGTTGATTAGGAATTCAACCTATTCAAAGCTTTTGTAGTTGAAGGTAAAGATCCTATGTCGAAAGAGAATACTAAGAAATATTTTTCCTTAGAGGAAGTCATCAATGGAAGGAATACATTTTACGCTGAAATAAAGGAAGCCGTTGACAAGAAGTTCAAGATTGCTCTTAAGATCTGGTTGAGAATAAGAAATCTTGATAAAGCAAATTAGTCCAGCAAAGTTTCAAGTTAACCACCAGGAACTGCTTATTAAGGGATAGGAACCGCACAAAACTTGGTAGTCTCTGATGATGATTATGTCTATGTCAAAACTGAAAAGATTTATGTGCTCCATCTAGTTGAGAGAAGATAAATGGAAAACATTGTATACACATCATATTCACATTCACCAATGTCTGCTCTGCTAGAGGGAGTGTTTCAAAGTAGGGAAGCCGCTTAGTAATATGCCTCATTTTACATATCGAAGGATCAAAATCCAGCTGAAAAGTCTAGACTACAAATCTATTTAGAAGACAAATATTTTTAGATCTTCAAGAAATATCAAAAGAATATCATGTCCCATGCTCTCTATGAAACACTAATGATAGTATTGCTTGAGAAAGATGAAGTGAGGAAGCAGATTGTTGATGGTGTGATGGTCCTTCTGAACTTATCATCTTGCAAATTATTTGGGCTGACATCAATAACTTAAGTCTTGCAGAAGTTGCTCTAAGCTTTCTACGATTATAAATTCCCTTAATTCAGAAAAAGTCTGGAGAATTAGTTCTATACTTTCTATTCAAGACTATAAGAGATCATGGCTACTGGATTTTGCGCAGAAATTATTGTATTTAGAAAGTACCTCGACATCTTGATTGATTCTATTTCTGGCTAGGGACATTAAGAATTAGAAATAGATAACTCAACAATGGAGACTTTTAGAAATATAGAGGCTATATTGAAATGTGTGTCATCTTCAGAACTAACTAATGTCTCTTAAACTTACCATATTGCTAAAATGACTATTAACATGGTGGTCAATAAATTTGGCTCCCAATTGAATTCAAACTTTATAAGTCAAGAAAAATACTAGCAGAATAAAGCATTCGATAAAGCAGCAAAGCTATCACAAGAAAAATCAAAAAATAAGCAATCGAAATTATACCCATCTAAAGATGAAGATATTCATATTTACATGTAATATACAGTTGACACCTTTGTGTATGAAAGCATTTACTATATCCTAAGAGATTAATTCTTTTATGAATAATTTCCAAATGCTCTTGCTATTGCAAGCATGAGAATTCAAGCTCACTTAATGAGATTTGATCTTTATGGAGGCATCCCAGATGAATATATCAGAAGATAAGAACTTTAAAAGCCTTTTTAGAATGCTTAACCTCCTATGACTTTATACATTTTAGGCAATAGCGAAATGAGAGATAAAGACTTACCCTTCCCGATTTCAGATTTTTTCACCTTAAGTGTTACTTCTCCAAATGACATTAGTATATTCAAGAAATTTCTGAACAACTATGAGATAGCCAAACTAAATATTGGAGATATGTTTGAAGGTGGGTACTTGAAAATTTTAACTTCAATTACTGGTTACTCAATCTTCAATAAGTATGCAAGACTTAACAAGAAATCTTCATTTTGGACAATGATGTATGACATTATCATGACTGGGTAGTCTTTTGATGCTGCTATTCCTTCTTACATAGCATTGATTCTAAGATATGCCTTATTCTTATACAAGTAAACAGATGCTGTAGTTCTGGGTTTTTATACAGATGATGATATTGACAACGCAGCTGTAACTATATTTTAGATAAAAGGGGATGCAGACTTAAAGGAAGCAAGCAGGAAAATGTATGAATTCGTCAAAGGTAGAATTAGGATTTACATGAGAATGCTCCTGCCACTTGAGACTGATTTTAAGAAGGTTCATGTTTACTTCAACCTTCATTTCAAAAATGATTCAACCAATCAAGCATATTCATCACTCTACCATGTAAATTCTATTCATGATGTTGCAAAAGTCTTCTTTAAGATTGAAGACTTTACAGACTGGGACATTGTACAAAAATCACATCCTTATTTTTCGCCTACAGAACACTTAATAGAAGAGTACAAAACAGCTTACTTAGACTTTAGATTCCTAGATGCCTTCAAATGCCTAATTATTCTCAAAATCATGGATGAAAAAGAGGAGCATTACTTCCATTTTATGAGAGTGCTTTACTCCTAGGCTGAGACATTTAATATCTTAGTTCATGATATCCAAATAATGAGAGATATTGTTAAGGACATTTACAGAGCTGATATTCATAAACTGCAAGTCAAGAAGGTAGGACCCATTAATCTATTGAATTACTACCTTCAAATAAGAGAAACTATTTCCTAAGAGATTAAGAACTCACATCTGACTATAATAGATGGATATCAGACTAGAATTATCAATTTAATGCAAGACCTTGAGTTATACATAGTGATAATTAAAACACCTTCCACGCTGCCACACAAGGTGATAAAGACACTTGAGACTATTTAGAGAAAGTTTAAGTAAATAGAGTTGATTTTGAAAGTGATTAGCAATTGCTAGATGCTCTATGCAAGTGAATATATGAAGAGCACTTTCAACATTAATGCTTTTGATGATCCACTTACTATTGAGTGAAATAGGAATATAATCTTGTGATTAAATAGTAGATAATATAATTATAGTTAAAATTAATTAATTAAAGGATTAAAGTAATGGTTCTAGTTAGAATTATAGTAGGAGGTGCTCTTGTCTACCAAGCAAGTTCTTTTGTGATTGGAAAGGTAAGCAAATTTTAATTTCTTTAAGGCAATTTAATAGTTAATCAGAGTAGTCACTAGATATGAAGATCCTAATACATATGAAGCTGAGGAGAAAAGAAGAGAAGAATGGGTCGAGTCTCATGCTGGAAAACCAGTCATTGAAACGAAAGAAGTAGAAAATTATTTCTGAATTAATCAATCAAGATGCACTTTATAAGACTATTAATTTACCATAAAAATTAAATACCAGATATTCTGAGAAAAAAGAGTACTTAATTTCTTTACAACTCCATTCTAATATTCTTATATACTTTCTAGAATAACTAATATGAATTTCAGGGGTTTTGGGGTTTTGGGGTTTTGGGG